CAGCAGCTCCAGCTCCTCCAGCACCAGCAGCACCAGCACCTCTAGCACCAGCAGCTCTAGCAGCACCTCCAGCACCTTCAGCAACAGCAGCACCACTGGCTCCGGCAGCGCTAGGACCTATAGCACCAGTAGTACCACCAGCACCTCCAGTGCCAGCAGCTCTAGTAGCACCTCCAGCACCTCCAGCACCAGCAGCACCACCTGCTCTAGCAGCTCCAGTACCTCCAGTACGAGCACCTCCAGGACCAGCAGCTCCAGCACCTCCAGTACCTCCAGTACCTCCAGCTCTAGCGCCTCCAGCACCAGCAGTACCTCCAGCACCTCCAGTGCCAGCAGCTCCAGTAGCACCTCCAGCACCTCCAGCACCAGCAGTACCACCTGCTCCGGCAGCTCCAGCTCCTCCAGCACCAACAGTACCTCCAGTACCTCCACTGCCAGCAGCTCCAGTAGCACCTCCAGCACGAACAGCACCACTAGCTCCGGCAGCTCTAGCACCTCCAGTACGAGCACCTCCAGGACCAATTGCTCCAGCACCTCCAGTACCTCCAGCTCTAGCGCCTCCAGCACCAGCAGCACCAGCAGCACCTCCAGCACCTCCAACACCAGTTGTACCTCCAGGACCAATTGCTCCAGCACCTCCAGTACCTCGAGCTCTAGCGCCTCCAGCACCAGCAGCACCTCCAGCACCTCCAACACCAGTTGTACCTCCAGGACTAGTAGGTCCAGTACCTCCAGCACCACTAGCACCTCTAGGACTAGTAGCTCCGGCACCTCCAGCACCAGCAGAACCTCTAGTACCTCCAGCACCAGCAGCACCTCCAGCAGTACCTCCAGTACTTCCAGCACCAGCAGTACCTCCAGGACTAGCAGCTCTAGCACCAGCAGGACCGTACCCTCCACCACTAGGACTGCCTCGCCGAACGATCCACGCACGAATCGCCTGCGGCGAGAGCGTCTCTAGTAGACTAGGCTGCGGTGGCTGTCCAGCTCCAGGACCTCCAGCAGGGTCACCCACAGCTCCACCGCCACTAGGACTCGCAGGACCCCCAGAGTCAGCACCCCCATTCGCAGCACCCCAAGAACCAGCACCCCCTATCGCAGCACCCCCAGAACCAGCACCCCTAGTCGCAGCACCCCCAGACGCAACACCCCCAGAACCCTCACCCTCTGTCTCAGCACCCCCAGGCTCAGCACCAGCAGTCTCAGCTCCTGAGTCCACAGTAGCAGGCTGCGGAGGCGGCGAAGATGACCGAGGCGGAAAACCAGGGGGGGTCTCCAAGCGTGGAGAGCGGCGAGTGGCCGCCGTGTCGTCAGCGGCGGGGTCACCCCCCTCAGCTGGGCCAGAGGAGTCAGAAGAGACCTTCAAAGGCTCAACCAAGGGGGGTGGGTCTACCTGAGACACACCTGAGGGAGCAGGACCCTGTGGGGGGAGGGGGTCTACTGGGGGGGGGACTGGTACCAAGAAAAGAGGCGCTAGGGGGACCGGGTGGGACGCGTGCGGGTGTAGCTTGTAGAAACAGACACACTCGTCAAAGGTGACGTCCTAGGAGGAGAAGACTCGAAGCAAGCGCGAGCGGTAAAACTGCCATGGCGGGGCGTCGGTGGGGAAGCCAATGAAGACGCAGCGGAGAGTGCGAGAGGAGAGCTTGCTTGCTTTGGCATCGCGAACAAGGGAGAGCGCGCCCTAGACCCGAAACACCGACGCATCGCCAACCTTCCCCATCCACCGGAATGTGGGCGAGGTCTCTGGCTCAGAGACACGGGGCCAGAGGTTGAGCTGATGCGCTGCGTATCGGACCACAAACGGCCACAGAAAATGGGGAGCAGCCGCATGGATCATGGAGGTACGAGCAACCTCCATGATCAAGCCGATGCGACGCTCAGCAATCCCATTCTGCTGAGGAGAGGCTGGAAGCGTGAACGACTGGACGATGCCCTCGTCTCGACAGAACTCCGCAAGGAGGTCAGAAGAGAACTCACCTCCCTTGTCAAAGTGCAGACGCAAGACTGGGAAGTCCCGACTGAACCGCTCGCGCAGCGGGCGACGAGTAGCACGGATCCAGGGGATCAAAACACCGCTGATGTCCGCCTTGCGCCACAAGGGGAAGACAGTGGTGTAACGTGTGTAGTATTCAACAACCAGCAGGTAGTTGCGCTCCTGGTCCGTTCCACTGACGGGTGCTGGGCCCCAAACGTCCATGTGGAGAGTCTGCAGAGGAGCAGTGGTCGGAGGAAACTCGGAGGAGTGAGGAGCGGCGCGCTGCCGCCCCTCGACGAAGGGAAGGCACGGTGGGGCTGGCGAGGATGGGAGGGAGGGCAGGGACCTGGGAAGGCCAGAGACAAGGAGACGGGAGTGCATACCGCGGAGACGCGGTACGGAGGGGTGACCGAGGCGGTGGTGCCAGAGGAGAGTCTGGTGGGAGAGTACCCGACACGAGCAAGATGCTGCAAGCTGACCAGACGCATACACCTGACTCGACGCAGCCACCTGACCTACCTCAGCCACCTGTGCAGACGCAGTGGTCAGTGTGTACAAACTAGACCCAGGCCGTCGAGTGAACGTTTCAGGTGACGGCCAGTCCGGGAGTACGTACACATCGCCATACGCTGCCCTCCAGGAATAAAGGTATCAACCCAGACATCCTGAATGGCAGCACTGCTCACCAAGTTCGTCGAGAACGTGGGGAGGTGGAGACCTGACAGAGAACCAGAGGGGACTGCTGGACATGAGAGGACAGTGGAGGCTCGTGCGACTACTGGGCCCTCAATGGGGTCAGCCAGTGAGACCAGTACCGGTGCAGCAAGTGGTGTGAGTGTGGTGCAGTCACGAAAGAAGCAACGTGACACGCTTGAGTCAAATGGGAAAGTGTGCAAGGCCTCGGCTAAGGAAGGACCTGTGGCGAGAGACGCACGAGTACCTAAAGCTGCAGCAGACTCACTAGCACCTAGTGCTGCAGTAGACTCACTAGCACCTAGTGTGGCAGCAGACTCACTAGCACCTAGTGCGGCAGCAGACTCACCAGCACCTAGTGCGGCAGCAGACTCACTAGCACCTAGTGCAGCAGCCTCGACAGAACCAGTGACACATCGCTGAGGAAACAACTCACTAAGCACCTGAAGGGAGAGGGTCTCCTGCAGACTCTGCTGCCGCCTCTGTGCAGTACGTAGAAAACCAAAGCCTCCACCACCTGGACGGGCTCGCTGAAGAACCCACTCGCGAAGCTGCTGAGGGGTGGGGTTGTCCGGGAGAGGCAGTGACCGCTGCTGTCCACCCCTAGCCGCTGCAACTGCCGTGATAGTGGCCATGACAGGCAGTGACGGTCAGTAGTAGGTCCAGCACCTCTGGCACCAGCAGCACCTCCAGCACTCCCAGTCGCACCTCTGGCACCAGCAGCACCTCCAGCACTCCAGTCGGACCTCCAGCACCCCCAGCACCAGCAGCACTCCCAGCAGCACCTCCACCAGCAGCAGCAGTAGCACGAGCAGCAGCAGCAGCAGCAGGAGTGGCAGCAGAGCGGCTTGGTGGGGCTGGTGTTCAAGGTAGGGCGGCGCGGCTCGGGTTGGGCAGGATGGCTCGGGCTGGGCGGCGCGGCTCTGCCGGGCAGGGCGCACCGCGGGCTGCAGGACAGGGCGCGCGGTGGACAGGGCAGCAGGGCGCGTGCTGTGCAGGGCAGCAGGACGCGACGTGTGGGGCAGCATAGCGCGACGCGCTGGCTGCAGCAGGGCGCGACGCGAGGGGCAACAGAGTGCGATGCGCTGGCTGCAGTAGGGCGTGACGCGCTGGCTGCAGCAGGGCGTGACGCGCAGGGCAGCAGAGCGCGACGCGCTGGCTGCAGTAGGGCGCGACGTGCTGGCTGCAGCAGGGCGCGATGTGCAGGGCAGCAGGGCGCGATGCGCTGGCTGCAGTAGGGCGCGACGCGCTGGCTGCAGCAGGGCGCGACGCACAGGGCAGCAGAGCGCGACGCGCTGGCTGCAGTAGGGCGCGACGCGCTGGCTGCAGCAGGGCGCGACGCGCAAGGCAGTAGGGCGCGTTGTGCAGGCTGCAGCAGGGCGTGAGGCGCGGAGTAGCAGAGCGCGATGTGCGGGCTGCAGCACGGCGCGGCGTGTGGGGGGGGGCAGGCAGTGCGAGTAGCCACAGGGCAGCGCAACACTGTGCGAGCAGGGCCGGACAACGCAAGGGCGCTTCAAGCAGGAACAAGCGAAACTATCGGTGGGCCCTAAAAACTTAACAGGTTTCCTGCTCTAAATACCATGTCAGGATAACTGTGCAGGAAATGAACTATGAATGAGTTGTGTACAAGTACTAACCCTAAAGTGTTGTACCCCTTGTAGGCTAACCCACTATAGCCTAGAGAGATCACAAACATAGTTTGACACTTTGCGCTTATGCTTTACATTTGGCGTGTGTTTATAGAACCTTGTTGCGAGTTCTCTGCTAGAGGCACGAGCACCCTATCTGACAAACAACTCCGTTCTGACTTTTGAGTCGACTCAAAAGTCATTTACGCTTTACATTTGGCGTGTGTTTATAGAGCCTTGTTGCGAGTTCTCTGCTCGAAGCACGAGCAGCAGCCTATCTGACAGACAACTCTGTTCCCATCACATACCTTCCATCCAACCAGCCTTCACGTTCTCTCTGCAGGTCCACCACCCCATCGCCCTAGTATACAACGAACTACACACGCAGTGGATCAAGAGCGTCGAAACCTTCCTGCCCTGGCACTGATCTGACTTCAGACTCAAAAGTCAATTCTCCATCCCATCCGTCCCTCTCTGCGCTCCAGGCCCACCACCCCATCGATCTGGTATACAACGAGCTGCACTAGCAGTGGATCAAGAGCGTCGAATCCTTCCTGCGCTGGTGACCCTGTCTCAAGTCCCTCGCGCTCAGCTTCACGCACATCCAGTAGATCAACACCCTTTGCTCGCCACGCACACGGACCTTCGCCTCCCTCACCTCCCTCGATCTCAAGCTGCGCGGCTGTGTCGACAAATCTTACATGTTTGACGACGTTGAGAAGGATGATGAGGACGAAGTGGAGGAGAATAACTGGAAATGGGGCTTCAAGTGCCCAAATCTGCTGCGGGTGAAGCTGGGTTGGGGCAAGCGGGACCTCGAGACTGTGGGGTTCGAGCCGCTGCGCAGTCTGACTCTCAAACACGTGGACTGGGAATACGTGGATGTTGAGTATCTAGGCACACTCACACCGCAACTCACAGAGCTTGCGCTCTATCATAGCTGGGATGTGGACTGGCTATCCTCAGGCCCCGGTGGTGGTGGCACATTCACTTTCGACTTATCAAAAGCTGAAACCGCCCGCTTTTACTTCCTAAGGAGCAACCTCACGCTCGCCCTCACCCTCTCTCCCGCGCTCAAGACCTTCGCGGTGATGGGACATCACCTCGTGCTCTCGTGCCAGACCACCGAACCTCTCGCTCTCCACCAGCTGTCGCTGTACGAGCAGCAGCGGCTTGTCATTTCCTCCCTCCACCTCGCCTCCGCACGAGTGGCCTATCTCAACGGCCCTCCTTAGACCTGCACTCGCGCAGTGACGAATCCTCTTCCTTCCTGGACTCCCCTGTATTGTCCCCTGAACTTTCACCTGAACGTTCCCTTGATAGGCAGGGCTCAGACCGCCGCAGCTCTCCTGAATTCTCATAGGCTGAATGGCTGCGCACTATAGCGCCAACAATGGAGGTGCTTATAGTGAGGCATGGGGTGCCTGTAGAGAAGGTTGATGCAGAGTGGAGCAGCCTGCGCAGCCTTGGGATTGTAATGGAGAGAGAGGAGCGATTTGAGGCAGATCTGAAGGTTGAGAAGCGTCGGGATGATGGTGAGAGGGAGTTTACAGTGGAGGAAATTCAGGAGCGCGACGGGAGGCTTTTGTAGGAGCAGTGGTAGAAGCAGAGGCTTTTGCTGTAGCAGCGGCAGCAGCAACTTCTTTCGCAGCAGCACGATTTGCAGGAGGGGCAGCACTGGCTGCGGCAGCAGCAGCAGCAGCCGCCGCCGCCGCCGCAGCCCCAGCAGCCGCAGCAGCAGCGGCAGCGGCAGCGGCAGCAGCAGCGGCAGCAGCAGCTGGTGCAGCAACGGATGCAGCAGCTGGTGCAGCAACGGATGCAGCAGCAGTAGCTTTTACGGCTGCAGCAACAGCAGCAGCGCTAGGAGCAGCAGCTTTTACGGCAGCAACAGCAGCTTTTGCACCAGCAGCAGGAGCAGGAGGAGGAGGAGGAGGAGGAGGAGGAGGAGGAGGAGGAGGAGGAGGAGGAGGAGGGGGAGGAGGAGGAGGAGGAGGAAGAGGAGGAGGAGGAGGAGGAGGAGGAGGAGGAGGAGGAGGAGGAGGAGGAGGAGGAGGAGAAGAAGAAGCAACAGCAAGAAGTAAGACCTCCGTTTATCTTGGCTCCAAACGTGCGAGCAATCTTCTTTCCCACTTGCACATGCGAGCAGCAAACTATTGCTTCCCTCCGTGAATTCTGTCTCTCTCTCACCCTGTACTGCATCTCACGTCGCTCGTTCTACTGGGAGAAGCAGAGGATGCAGTTGCCGGAGACCCCTGTGGTGCGCGTGAGGAATGCGAGAAGTGGGGTGCCACGTGCTTGCTTTGCAGAGAAGCGGCCGAAGAACGTGAGGGAGAAGATACAGTGTTTGAATAGGGAGCCGGTTGATGGGTACAGTGTTGATGTGGATGAGGCGTATATGTTTAAGTACAAAGGGAGGCTGTGGAGGACTTATTGGGGTGACTTAATAGTCACCCGATAGTACAGTGTTGATGGAGATGAGGCTTACAGTATATGTTGAAGTAACGTACAAAGTGAGCCTGTGGAAGATGAGAGCGAGTACTGCTAGGTACTTAACATTGATTGTTCTTTGGATTCTGGAAGGCGTTGTTTGATTAGAAACAGAGAGCATAGAAGAGCATGTCTTTCTGATCAAAGAAGTGCACCTTGGGTCAAACATGCTGGGTTGAGAAAAGCCCTTAGGATCGTTTTCAAGACTAAGGCTCATAATAAAGATGTATTAGCGGAAGCGTCTTAGTGAACTGGTTGAACCACCTTGCACTAGTGTCTGAGAACAATATAAAGTGTTAATAGCAACGAGAAACAGGGCTTTATATGATTACAAGGAATATGAAAGGTTTAACTTACTGTAAATGCTGTTGCGGTTCGATACAGCGACGACTTGGGTAACTGCTCAATAGCGAGTCAGTTATGTGTCCTTGCTGTCGCGCTGATTTTCGGCGAGTCAAAGGTCGCTGACCTTTGACCTTCACTTAACCTCTTGCTGTTGTCTTTCTGTCAACCGCTTTGGTTGACTCGCTGTTGCTTCCTTGTAGTTCACTTTGCTTATGTTGTAGTGTTCGATACATCAGAAGCGCGAAATATATGTTTCCAACACTCCCGTTCGCTTCTGGAGTGTCATCGCCTTCATTGCTGGTGACGTGGCCTCGTCCAGTCAGCAGCATGCAGTACTCGAACTTCTGCTTTCCGAGTTTCGGTCAAGTAATCTGCTGCCATCTCGGACGTGGGGCAGTAGGATAGCTCGATTCTTGCTTTCTCGATCTCGTCCTTCACGAAGAAATAACGCAGGGCAATGTGCTTCGTTCGGTTTGCGAACCCGCTCTTGTTCACTATGCGAATTGCAGATTGGTTGTCGCAGAAGAGGGAGAAGCTGGGTAACTGGGCCAGCTTTGCTTCTTCCAGTAGTTTGCGAAGGTATAGTCCTTCCTTGGTGACTGAGCAGCGTCCTATGTATTCAGCTTCAGCAGAGGATAGAGCAATTAGTTCTTGCTTGCTCGACTGCCACAAGATAGGACTGACGGGCTCAAGTCGATAGATGTAGCCGGTGCGCGATTGCCTGTTGTCAGAATCGTCTGCGTGGTCAGCGTCCACATAACCGATTAGTTTTGGAGTTGTGGTTCCAGTCTTGTGGTAGGTTAGGCCGATTGTTGGTGTGCTGACGAGGTAGTATAACGCGCGGTCGAGTTCCGCCATGTGCTCTGCTTCGGGCCGCTTGAGGTGGGTAGCAAGCTGACTCGCTTAGTACGATAAGTCCGGTCGACAGGTAACGGGTGCGAAGAGCAAGCATCCTAGTTTTCGCTGGTAGTCGCGTAGTCCGGTAGGTCCGAGCGGATTAGCCTTTTCCTGGTGATTTCCGGCGGTGTAGCGGTAGGGCGTGGAGATGGCGGCTGGCATTAATCCAAAGCGTTTGGCGATTGTGTCGGCGTATTTTGCGGCGCTGAGGTAGATCGCGTTCTCTCCGTCAAGTATGTTGAGTCCCAAGTACTGGGTTACGGTGGAAGAAACCGTGAGTGAGAGATCCTGTTGCAACTCCCCTTCAAACCAGGTGGTGATGTCGTCGGTAGAGCCTATGTAGAGCAGGTCGTCTACGTACACGATCAGCAGGATGTATTCGGCTTCCTTCGTGGGTCTGTACATTCCCTGGTCGTGTGGTAGTTGTTGGAAGCCAATGCAGATTAATCGGGTGTGTAAGTACTGCTGCCACAGTCGATGAGCTTGCTTGATGCCGTACAGAGACTTCAGTAACTGACAGACTTGATTAGAGTCTGTGACGGAACCGTGCGGTTGTTCGACGAAAATTTCTGAGTCGACGGGAGCGTAAAGGAAAGCATTGGCCACGTCGATTTGGCGGAGTTTCTTTTGCTTCATGGCAGCTATCGCGAGAAGGATTCGCAAAGAGGTGTGTCGGCGCACTGGCGCGAAAGTCTCGGTGAAGTCTCGTCCGTGCTCTTGGTCGAAGCCACGCACGACCCATAGTGCTTTGAATTTGTCAATTGTCCTGTCATCTTTCGTCTTCACGCGGAAGACCCATTTTCCCGTGCCACTCCGATGGGTACTATCTTCCAGGTGTTTCTGTCTTCCAGCGCTTTTAACTCCCTGTCCATGGCTTCGCACCATTTTTCTTTGTGCTCCCCCCCCCCCAGAGCCTGCTGAACTGTAGTAGGCTCTCGCGGCGGCGATGCTCCATGGAATGCGGTGACAAGGCCGAGAATCTGTACCCTGCTCTGTGTGCAGCGGGGAAGGCTTGGATCCTCTGGATAAACTGCTTCGTCTCCCGCTTCTAGATCAGGTATGAAGTTGGGGGCTATGAATTCTGAAATGTTTGTGTTGATCGGCTGGGGTGTAACGTAACCATTGTCGGCGAAGTCGTAGTAGACTTCGGCGTTGATGCTTTCGCGAGGGTTTTCGTCGTCCATCGGAACGGGTACCGAACAGTAGGGAAGAGGTCCGGCTTCCTCCGATGCTCCGTCCATATTTTCTTCATCCCAGTCAGCCTCATCTGCTGGCGCGGCGAAGGCTCGGTTGCCACAGAAGCCGCCCGTGAGGTCTCGTTCTGCTGCTTAGTTGTCCAGGTACGTTTGGAGAGTGAGTCATTCGTAGAAAATCACGTCATGTGCTGCTACTGTTTCCATCGAGTGGACGTCGGAATTTCTTCCATGCGTTGTAATATTTTTCGATGCCCAGGTGTAATCCCCACTGTGCGCATTGTAAGAATCGTCCGGCTCGTGCAGTGTGGGGTCGGTACTGTACCATGCTGCCAAAAACTCGTAACATTTTTGTGTTGCCCAATTTTCTTGTCTACAGCAGATGCGGTGATGCGTTGTTCGGAAGCGAAGATGACGAAAGCAAGTTGTGTAGCAGCACTGCGTGGTCCATCGCCTCAGGCCACTGATGGTTGGGTAGTCGCATGCCATGTAGTAGCTTGCGCATGGTGTTCTGGAGGGTCCTTTTCATCCTTTCTGCCATGCCTTACTGTTGATGAGCGTAGGGAAGAGAGATGAGTTGCTTGATGCCTCTGTCCGCCAGGTATTGACTGATATTATCCTCCCCCGTTTGACTGGTCCAGCTTCACTTCTGATTCCCTCTCTGCTATTGGGAGCCAAGCGACAAAGGCTTTGAAGGCCATGTCGTGACTCGGAAGATTGAGGTGTCAGACGTATCTGGTGGCGGCGTCAATGAACGTGATTACGTAGTTGTATGCTCCCTGTCTGTTTTCTCGGGTGTACAGTATGTCGCTGTAGACCTTCTCCAGCGGTGCATATGCAGGCGCACTCGGGTTGTGGTGAGATATGAACGGCTGATGAGGTAAGTCGGCTTCGGGACAGGTAAAGTAGGTTCTGCGGACTCGTTGAAGTTCTCTGCCATTGGGTAAGAGTAGTGAATCTTTGTCGAGAACTCCTGCTCTTATCGTGTTGTTCAGTGTCGTGTTGCGGGGATGTCCTAACCTTTGATGCCACAATGATTCGTCGTCGCGATGTCCAGGTGAACGTCTGTACAGGTCGGAGTTTGAGTAGAAACCTGCAGTGATGTTAGCACTTCTGTGGACGTCTCGTGGAGCGGGAGTCAGCTGTTGAGCGGGAGTAGGTGTGGTATCGGTGACGGGAGTTGGTGCTGATGAAGAGGTGGCGATTGGTGCTGGTGCTGTTGTTGTTGCTTCTGCTTCTGCCAATGTTGCTGCTGCTACTGTTGTCTCTGCTGCTACCGATGTTGTTGCTGCTGCTGCTGTTGTCTCTGCTGTTGTTGTCTGTTGAATCACTGCTAACGCCCTTATCCATTCTGCTTCAGGTATAGTGTGTGAGTACCAGAAGCCTTCGAGGCTGAAGTCTGGGTCGAGATCTGGTGGGTGCGACCAAGTGGTGAAGTTCATAATCGCGTCGCTGCCAGCAGTTCCTTGATCTGGGACGAAGTCGAGGACGAAAACGTTGTTCTTCAGGACTGCTTTGCCGATGTAATGTCCACCCTTCCCGTTGTACAGCTTGAATTCCTGAGTGGTGCTGTTGGCTTTGAGATGAATTCCTTTTGCCATGAGTTGACTGACGTTGAGTAAGTTGTAGCCCAGTCCTTCTGCAATCAAAACCTTCGACATCTGTAAAACGACGTTAGTCTCGCGGGACTAAAGTTGAACTACTCATTGTCGTCGTGTCCGCAGGTTATGGGGACGGTTATCACGACTTCCAGGTTGAGGTGTTGTTCCCGTTGGACGAAGCGGTCTAACGAGCACATGTGTTGTCCACAACAAATGTCCAAGAACCACGTATCTTGACCGGACGGTTCGCTCTGTGCAATAGTTGCGTACGTCGGATTTGGTTCCAGCGATTCGCGACGAGGCGTGCTTTCGTCGAGCAGTTCTTCTGGTGAGTAGGTCGGTGGTGAACCGGTGATGCAGGCGCCCGTTCTTGTCATACAACTTATGATATTTCTTGTTCCTCGTGCATGTTGTGATGTTGTCGTTGAAGGCGGCGCCTGCTTGGAAGAATGCGGTTGTGTGGAAGCCACTTGACTATTTGAAGGTTGAAGTTGACATGGTGGTGGTGTTGATTGCTGTTGATTCGAGCAGTGAATACGGGAGTGGCTAGACGTTCGACAGAGGTGTCTTCGTCCTTGATGCTCGTTCTGCCGGTTGTTGTTGTTGTAGCACCGTTGAGTGTGAAAAACGAACTCTGGCACTGGTGCCCTTTTCTTGTGACGTTCTTCGTGCAGGTCCATGTCTTGTTGTTCGGCGTGAATTTCGGCGCAGAGGTTTGCTTCGGAGATTCTTCCATGGGCTCGAAAAATGGCCCGGGTGGAGCGCCACTGAGGACCAAGGCTTGTGATGACGACAGTGAGAAAAGCTTCTTCGGATATTGGATCCGCCGCATCGAAGGATTCTATCGCGCAGACCGCGACAGCGACGGATATATGCCATTCCCTTTTCGCCGGGTTGCATTTGGACTGTTGTCAATTGCGCCATGAGACGACTTT